GCAGTTCAGCTACCACGTCGGATTCCCCCTCCTCCCTGTCATCCAGGTCCTTGAGCAGGTCAGCCTGGTACGCTTGTAACACCGCCATGGTGTGCAAGCATGCGCCAGCCTGACCTGCCGCCGTATAAGCTTTCCCAACCAGACTAGATGTCAGCTTAACAGGCCTGGTGGGAAGCTTCGGGGGCCTTCAGGGACGATGCTGAGGATGGGGAGAGATAGCTCGTGAGCGTCTGCTCCACCATTGGTATCGCCCCATATCTCTTCTCATTCAGTCCCACGATATTGGAATAATTAGAGACTGTGGGGCTATAGATACGGGAAGAATACGGTTTTTCCCACGATCTTGACACCTCAGCATGGAGATAGGGAAAAAACGGAAGGCCCCGTCGTGAAGGCTGTGACCTCGGCCTCAGGAAACGCTCGTCTAATTTGCTCTTAGGACGAGCGTCCTGTTTCTCGGCTGGCCAATCGATATTTAATTTGGCTACAGCACGAGTCACAACCTCCACGAGCTCCTCATATGCGAGGGACACACAAATCGTGTGTATCCCCCGCCGCCAGATATCGTGGACAGGGAGGAACACAGCGTTTGTAATGCCGTTCGCTCGCCATAGACTTTTTCATGATATTGTTTTTATATATGCTTGTGCGGACAGACAACAGTAAATAGACAGACACATACACAGAGCGCTACTGAAGAGCAGAAGTTGGTTTGCGCTCTGCCGGATGCACTTTTATACTTTCTGGTGACGTCTCGCTACTCCATTGGGCTGATTTGAAACGTGCTTCAGAACGCGGTCACGCAGGGGCATTCCCAAAGCGATCCTCGACGCAGCGTCTCGTTCCCTCGGGGAACCATGGTTACATACGTAACCCGAGTAAGATGGGGTGGGAGTGTATCAGCACCTTTTTATATGATGAATGGGGTTCGTCAAGGTGGAATACTGTCTCCTCTTCTTTTTAACTTGTGTATGGATGATCTTTCTTTAAAGTTAAACGATTGTAAAACTGGATGTGTAATAGGGGATCGTCTTATAAATCATCTGATGTACGCTGATGATTTAGTTATTCTGTCCCCTTACAGTGCGGGATTGCAACAGTTGCTTCGTATATGTTCAAGTTATGGTTTGCAGTTTGATATAAAATTTAATAGCAAAAAGAGTGTGGTTATGATTGTTAAAACCAAAGAGGACCTTAAGCAAAATTTTCCATCTTTTTATCTAGGTGATCAAGCATTAAATGTGGTGAATAAAATAAAATATCTGGGTCACATTATCAAAGATGATTTAAATGATGATGATGATGTGCACATATTTCCTTAACACAGCACGAAGAGTAGGAATATTATTATAAACAAACATATATTGTAAGTTGTAAGTTGTATGGACAAGCAAATATGTTGGTTCGTACATTTTTTATGTGTACAGATGAGGTTAAAATAGCTATTTTTAGAGCTTATTGTACTTCATTGTATGCAGCACACTTGTGCTGTAATTATAGTAAAGCTAAAATGAAAAAGCTTCAGGTGGCATTTAATGATGCACTGAGAATTTTGCTTAGGCTCCCAAGGTGGATGAGTGCAAGTCAGATGTTTGTTTATAATAATATTCCTACTCTTCGTGCTGTGTTAAGGAAATATGTGTATAATTTTATGTGTCGATTGAGTAATTCAAGAAATTCAATTATAATGGTTCTAAGTGATCCTACATTAAGTGATACTAAGTACTCCTCCTGGTATTGGAAGCACTGGAATGAATGTTTATATGTTTTTAAATAGTGTTGTGGCATGTACATTTATGTATGTATTGTCTTGAATTTTGTTACTTTTGTGGATATGGACCTAAGAGTCTGAAATAAAGGAATAATAATAATAATACCTTAAAGTTATAGATAAATAGCTGCAAATTATAAGTGTGTTTTCATGTGTCTTCACTGAAGAGAGAATTAAGTCTTGCCATACCGCCATAAAGCCCAGATCGGTGGAGTGTTGCAGTGATGTTTGTCCTTCTGTAGATTTCTCCTATCTCCACATATGATCATGGAGCTCAACTAGAGTGACCATCAGGTTCTTGGTCACCACTCAAACCAAAGCCCTTCTCCATCAATTGCTTAGTTTGGCCAGGAGACCAGCTCTATGACGAGTCCTGGTTGTTTCAAACTTCTTCCATTAAGGGTAACAGAGACTACATGCTTCTGATTATTAGCTGTTAGACCTATTATTAAGACATGTGTGCCTTTCCAAATCATACCCATTCAATTGAATTTGGCACAGGTTAACTTCACTTGAAGTGTAGTAAGATCTACAAGCAATATGCTCCTGAGCTAAATTTCAGCTGTCCCAGAATACTTATGCAATGGAATCATTTAAGTTTTTAATTTTTAATAAATTTGCAAAGATGTTAAAAACCTGTTTTTTGCTTTACCATTATGGTGTATGGAGTGTAGATTGATGTGGAAAAAAAGTAATTTAAAGCAGTTTAACATAAGGCAGCAACATAACAACGTGAACAAAATGAAGGGGTATGAATACTTTCGTAAGGCACTGTATATGGAATACCATAATTATGTTAAGTTAAATCTCAACATAAATAAATCATGTTTACTTTACATCATCTCTGTCCAGTTTTAATGATTTAGGTTAGCAGACCATCACTGAATCAACACTGAAACTTAACATTGATTTTTCATCAGGTTTGCAGCCTGAAATAATGTTATTTTAATGAGAAAAAATCAATTAAGATTGACATAAAACCAAACTTTTTTTTTTCAACTTTAATTAAATCACTTATTTTGAAAAAACATTGAAACAATTATCAAATCAGTCTTTCTTTATGTACAGCAGGACCCTATGCCAGTAAATCATGTCCATTTGGACTTCTTTCAATCAGAGACCATGTAGAGCTGAAATTAACATGGTTCTGAACCATAAAGTCACTAATTCCAAAACTGTTGATTAAACAACTCCACAAACAGCTTTACCATCTTCACTTCTCATAAACCAGTTTGTCATAATTTGCTATTTTCACAGGGATTTACTGCAGTGTGATTTACAGTCTCATTGGCATCAGCATTCTGGAAACCATCCTTGTGAATCTTCTGAAGGCTAAAGGAGCAGAGAAGAGATCAGTGGAAACTACAGCTGCTATTACTGGACGAGATAGTAAGTCTCTGATTATAAGGAACATTTTCCTGTATCACATACTAAATATAGTGTTTATCCAGAACAACAATGTTTTGTATTTTCTGTCATAGATGTAGGAGACCTGCAGAGCCCTCCAGACTCAGTCAGAGATCAGAATGGGATGCAGAGATCACTGTGCTGGACCAGAGTGGCAAGAATCATAGATTTGACTTTCTTGATTCTTTATACAATCACCATTATTGCATTTCTGTCTGTTCTTGAGAGGATTTGGTTTCCATAGTGATGTCTTATACATGAGATGGTACACAATTATTAACACATTAAAAACACATTATTTATTATTAATAAACAACTATTATTCAGACATTATAAATCACTGTAAAAAACATTGTAAAAAAAATATATTTGTAACAGTAGCAATAACAGTAGTTTTACCACTTATCTTACATATTTTCTTGTATTTTTTTTTAATGAAAATATTTGAAAAAGTACAATAATAAATTGTGAATTTAAATGCCTTTAAAAAGAATCTGTAATTTTACAGAACTGTTGCTGTTTATTTTACAGACATCCCTGTATTTATGAAATATAGAAAATATTAATAATACTTACTATATGGTTAGGGTTAGAATTAGGGTTTGACTTAGGGTTACTTGCATGTAATTATGCATAATTTATTGCTATTATAAGAGTAAGTACATGTAATGTGTAACAAAAACACCTTAAAATAAAGTGCTACAAAATAGCGTGGTTTACTGGTCTAACATGTCCTAAATATATTTAAACATTAATAAACATTAACAGTAAACATTGTGAAATACACTGTGCATTTACTTACACACGCACATGCACACACATATACACGTCTATGTTACTAACAGGGGACTGTCACTCTACACTGACCAAGAGGGGACCAGTGTTTCTGGTCATTTTGAAGAAACAAAAAATGACATACTGTCGAGTTATTTTGGAAGTTCACACATCAATACTGCCTTTAACTCGAAAAAGAGCCCAGTCAACCACGGACACTAGGATCAACTCAAAAATGGCTTTTACTTTGCATCTTCAATACACTTTCTACAATCATGGTTGGTTTGCAGTGTGTTGATTTCCATTCAATTTCATAATTGATTAAAGCAGTTTTCCAACAGATGATAGTTTGATTGAAGTTAGATGGTGATCTTGAAACAGTAGTTTGCCATTTCAATAGCAAAAAGCTCAGCTTAAGTTCAAATAGATTCAGATTTGGTTGATAACCTTTAAAAAAAAACAGAATAAAGTACCTAATTACAATCAAATATTTGACATCCCATGCATTAACATGTCTACACAATATGCACACTCTCAAATACACTTAATAGTACACATATGAACCGTATGCATTACAGTGCAACATTATCATGCACAAAAGAAGTTGGTAAAATGTCTCTTACGGTTCAAATAACACACAAGATGGTATTTACGCACAAGATGCCATTTGTCTGAACACAAATCAGTATTAAACTTGTTTAAATAGTTTCATCCTACCAACAGCGTCCCAGGTTGACTAATCACTGATGTGCATCCGATTTCTAGCGTCCTCATCTACTCGTGACTCTTTAGTCATGCAATCCTTTCTGTAGAAGAGGCATTGTGCCGCCAGAGACTCATCGCGCTGTTAATCTTTTAGAATGAGCACTTTGTTTCACTTTTATGCCATTCAGTGTATTAACTAATTACAAAGCGCACCTGATACACATTCTTCCGTGATACATCGCCAGTTTCCGACGCTTTTCGTAGCTTTCCGTAACCTGCTTCCTCTTACATAATCATGATGCAATCAATTCGCCACACAGAAATTTCAGTTTTCTTCACCAGTCAAATCACTTTTGAATGAACAAATTATGTTTCTAACTCCACACCTCCCACTAGACACTCTTGGTTCTTGAATCTAAGATGTCACACCCAACTCCTTTCTTCCAGATTCTTGGATTGCTCCTCCACTGGGGTCAACACAACTAACCGTCGAACATCCCTATGAAAAACGGTTGATGGGATTTTGATTCTTTCACCTTTGGAGACCTTTTTCATATCTGTCTTCTCACGACCCGAACAAAAGACTGGATGACTTGAGAAAACTCTGACGTCAACATCTCTTACAATACCTTTAGGATCAGCTTTCGCCTTGATTACTCTTCCTAACCTGTATTGACCTCTTAGAGCATTCTGGTCTGCAACCCAGACAATGTCTCCTACGGTGACATTTCTTTCCTTTGTGTGCCACTAATTTCTCCTTGGATGACCCTCAATCTCTTGTACGGGTATCCTGCAAAATAGAAATTGCCTGGATCTCCTCTTGCACTCTGTCTTCCCAACAACAGAGAGTTCGGTGTAACATACTCCAAACAATACTCACGACTTTGCGTTCATGCATCTATGGGCCTTTCATTTGCCAGATTTGCTGCCATGTACAGAAAAGTCTGGAATTCTCCCCACATGAAGATACTATCACCTCCTAGATTAAGAAGAGCTCTCTTCATCACACAAACAGCAGCTTCAGCTGCTCCATTCCTATGGGGTGAGTTTGCTGGATGAAACTTCCAAAACCAATAAGTTCCATGTTTGCCAGCTTCCTCTTCAAGCTCTGGATTATGTACTCTCTCCAGGAACTTGTAAAGATATTTCAGGGCTGACTGTGCTCCCACAAAGTTTAAGCCTACATCCACACTTTCTTGGGATGTCCTCTCAAAGCAGTGAACCTCATGTAAGACAATAAGAATTCCTCAGTGGATTGATCGCTTGCAACATCAGCACGAATAGCCCTTGAAGCCATGCAACAATACACAATCATGCAGCTGGTTCAATCCTTTCAGGTGGGAGATCACTCATAATCTGCTTGCACATCTTTGCTCTTGCTTTCCTGCAGATAACATAACTTTCCACCACCCTTTTTGCCAGTCTTCGACCTTTTACTACCCATGCTACTTTCCTCATTCTCAGAAGAGTCCCAGCAATCTCCTCATGGTTTGCATTATGTGCTTCATGAGCTAGTAGTAATGATACTCGTGTTTCCATGGGTAATAATGGAATGGTGGATCTCTCTTTCTCAAAGGCCTCATATCTTCCACTGCACACAAGAAGTCCGGTGTTTTCATCTTTAAATACAACCAGTCTGCAGAGTGTGGTCTCAGGAAATGTTGTGCTCTTTTGAACTGCCAAAAAGAGTTCCTTCAATGCATCCTCTCCTTCTTTCACTGTCAGCACACGTTCACTGATTCCATCTGAATCTTGTTTCCCACATGCTGATTTTTTATTTTTTACCTCCAGCCATTTCCTCACACTGCGCCACACCCAGCCAATGACCCTTGTCAACCTTGACAGACTACTGAACTTCTCAATATCCACTAATATTTTAGTGATTAGTCTGCTCAGCAGTTCCAGTCGAGACAACTCACCAGGTACTGATACCTTCTTCTCTTCAGTGCTTTCCTCCATCTGAGCTCTAGTCACTGCCGCTGAGAAGACTTTCCTTTGGAGCTTGTTGACCCTTTCTCTAGCATCATTAGCAATTTCAGCTGCTGATTTCTTGGGGCATTCATCCACTGACCTTTTAAGGAATTCTGGTCCATTCTGCCACATCAAGATCTTTGGGGATTGCCCTTTGTTTGATGATGTCTGCGATGTCCAGATCCCCTGGAATCCACCACCAATCACCAGTCGTTACTGTCTTCTGAATCTCTCCGATCCTATTTGCAAAAAAGGTTTGATACCCATAGCTATCACGCTGGATGGCTCCCAACACCGTCTGACTATCCACAAGATGACACCATTTCTCTACTTCGATTCTTCCATGCTTTTGAAATATTTCCTAAGACATGTTGCAAAGACTGCACCACAGACTTCTGCCTTTACAGGACCCCCTTCAATTCAAGTGGTGTTAGCTTGGCTTCGGACTCAACTAACCGAACAGCCACTCCTTGGCTTGTGTTCCACCTGAGATATAACAATGCACCATAGGTTTTATCACTCCCATCCGAAAACGTGATTCCCCAAGGTTTTCCTCTCCAACTTGCAGGCGTAAGGCTTCTGTGGAACTTAACTTTCTGAAGTCGCACATACTCCTCAAACAAATCAATAGCTTCTCCCCGGGTTCCTTCCGAAAGTGCTGTGTCCCACGTAAGTCTTGTTAGACACCAACTTCCAGCTTCCTGGAATGCTTTTCTAATGAGAATTGCGCCTTTCTGTTTGGCTGGTGTGACAAGACCAAGTGGGTCGTAGAGTCCCGCAACCTGACTCAATAGATGTCTTCGGGTCAATGGATTTGGTGTGTTCAATCTCACCTCCTCTTCAAAGAGATCCTGCTCAGTCCTCAACTTCTTTTTCCTTTTGGAAAAATTTACAGAAGTCATGATATACAACCTATCCTCCTCTGCTAGGTATCCAAATCCAAGGGCTTTATCATCCTCTACACCCAGCTGGTTAGGAATCACAACAATTTTCTCAGGAATTAAATTAAGTATTTATCTGACTATGAGAAGTTAGATATATCATTTTCGATTTTTGATATGAATCTTTTCACAACAGACCGTGTTTACTCACCTGGTTGTTTGGTTGCATTTAATTCTGAGGAATAAAATGAAGTATTTATCTGACTATGGGAAGTTGGATATACAGGGGCTCTTGGGATAAAAATTTCTCGAGTAAGAGCACGTGTTTACCTCTCTTAATGTGAGGAGGTTGAGGTAGTCAGCAGGGGCTGCTGGGCGGGAGCAGTCCCAACCTACCGTGTTCCAGCTCCTCATTCTGGGGGCGTCACTTCTCGTACTACACAGAGTCTAGAGTCAGATTGGCGCTCCCAGGCTGAAGGCTTCTAGCGGAAGGCGTTTCTGCGGACCGTCATTCTCGCTGTATAGTCTTCGTCTAAAACGTCCTGACACCTAAGGCCTATAAGACTTCTGAGGGCCAGCTCCCTCTGGGGAAGAGTGGTGTACACCGCATTACACGGTGCCCGTCTCTCCTCAGTGCCCTCAGGAGATCGGTCTGCCAACCCTGCCGGTGT